GGGGGGGGGGAGTTCAAAGGGTGGGGTAACCACTGCACCCCATCAGGTTAGCAGCGCACCTCAACCGGGGAAGGGGCAAGCGCTCCCCACCCGGTGCGTCAGCACCTGGCAGCAAAGCCAGATCCGGCAGCAACAGGCAACGTGGGTCCCCCCAACTGCTGGATGTTCCCGGTGCCAGCTCTTAACCTTGACCCAGAACTGGGAGCGCAAACCGGCGTCTCGATGCCTGCGAGGTTAATGAAATTCCAATTTGCGAGCTCTAGAAGGAGGTAATTTCTTTTCTTTCATGTCTGCTAAATACGGTTCCTCAAAGAGGCATAATTTCTAATGTTCCGCATGACATGAATTCTAACCGGTTTAGCAATGATCAGTCTCACCATTTACTCTTGTGTAATCTCTCCCTAACGACATTAAAAATAAAAAAATAAAAAATATACAGGGGGGAAAAAAAACAGAATAAAAAAAAAAAAGCGCGAGAGAGTCGTAGCCGCAGTTATTTCACGAGTGACATTTTACGGGGAGAGGGAGGAGAGGGGGGGAAATGGTAATTTAATATAGATAAAAGGAACAAATTAAGTAGGCTGAATACAGATGCTTTAGAGAAGGAAGGGGAAATAATGAGAGAGAGAACCATGCGGGCTGTTCCTATGCTGACGGAAGAAGGGTCCCGGCTCCCCGTGACACCACTAAGTGCTTCAGGGTCACGGCTTTTTCCCTTGCCCTCCCCTCTCCCCCCACTTTTCTGATTGCAAACTGGCCGTGCCCAAGAGCAAGCCCCCTCCGGATTTTTCCAGCAGCTCCAGCCAACCAGGCCGCTATTCTCTACTGATTTCTGACCCCGACGTCCCCTCCGTTCTACAAGCCAAAAATAATAATGGGCCCAAATCTGCCCCCTTCGGGCCTGATCCTCTCGCTGCCTGTCTGGCTCATTCAGAAGAGCATTCGACCTGGTGCAAAGGGCTTCGACGTGTGCCCAGAGCGTGGTGGCGTGGGGCTACGGATGCAGCCGCTCTGGTTGGGGGCGCAGGGTTTGCTGGCTGCCATCTCCCCAGCAAGGATGCCAGGATTTAGCTGCTGCTGATGAAGACAGCAGGAGGCATGCAAGGTGGTGTTTTAGTAGGCCCTGCATAAATAGCCAGCCTGCTCTGTGATGAGTTTTTCTCAGCGCCTGCGAGTTTAGCAGGTGCTTGCAGCCAGAGGAAGGCGCAGGGTGGTGGCCGCACGTGGCACCACTGGTTCTTGTTTGGCAATGGGCAAAGCCCACCGACCTGGTCCAGAAGGAACCATCCCTTGGGTGCCGGCGATCCTTAACACCGTGCCCATGACCCTCTGCCCCGTGGGAGGGACAGGAAGGTGAGAGCTTAGTGCCATCTCCTACCTGTTTGAGGATGGGCCTTAAGGACCCACGCAGCCCCTTGCTGCATCCTTCAGTGCAGGGTCCAGGGGCAGCCTCACCTTGCTTCTCCATCCCTTGAGGCCCTGCCTACATCTCCTGACTTGGGGGCTCAGAGGAGAGGGGCCAAGAGCCCCTTGGACATCCCAACGAGAGACCGACAGCAGGGAACTGGTCTCACTGGGAATGCTCCGCTCAGACCCCACCACCCACTGGAGCAGATGGATTAGGTGTGGTCAAACCCAGTGGAGTTCAAGCAGCTAAGCCAAGGATGCTCCCGAGTCACTGCAGCCCCTTCCCCTGCCCACACACCACCGGTGTGGAGGGCCGAACGCCCAGCAGGTCCCCAGATGGCAGCGCCTTTGGGCTGTCCCTCGCCTTGCTGCTGTCCCCAAGATAAAAGTGCCGCTTCCGATCAAGATAAAAGTGGCTCTGCTACTGATGAGAGCTGGAAACCAGGCTCCCTAATGGGTGGTTGAGGGAGTGATTATTTTTGCTTGCTCGGAGCAGGGGCAGACCCCCCGGGCAGCCTGGCAGGGCATGCAGGGCTGCCCGAGAGCCGCTCTCTGTGGTGTCTGGGCTGGGCTTGTTACTTCTCCAGCACCCCCTTGGCCGACGAACCCGTGGCCCAGGCTTCACCTGCAGGCTCCGCTCATGCCAGCTCCGGCGTCCCGTGTTCCAGCGGAAGCAACGGGGATTAAACAAAGCTGCTGCTGGAAACTAAAATACCTCCTGACCTGGCTGCGCGCCGCGTGGCACGGTGCCCTGGTGCCCGGCCAGGACCTGGCGAGGCATGGCTGCTAGTCCCAGGCCCGCTGCTCGCCTGCTGGGAAACCCCGGGGAAGCCCCAGCTCCGCACCTTGGCTCTGGGCAAGGTTGATGGCTCCAAGCCCCTTTGATGGCTGATGAACAGAGGGGGTTGGGGGGAATCCCTCTCAGCCATGGGAGACCCTTTCCACTGCCCTGTCCGAGGCTACCTGGCTCCAGGGCCCAGCCCCAAGCTCCAGCGCAGAGGTAAGAAACCAGGGGTAGCTGCTGCCTTATCTCCATCTCTCTGCATGCCCAGGCAGGCACTGGGTTGCACGTGCCCACCTCTCTGTGACCCCAGGAAGGTGACAACAGTGACCCTGGAGCAGCACAGTGAACCCTGGGATTCACCAGGAGCAAGACAGGAGCAAGCCCCTGGGGAAGTCCTGGGCAGCTGCAGAACCAGCCGGGCAGGGGCTCATCTCCAGAGCCCAAATCCATCTGTCCTGCCCCAATGCACCATGCATACATACACAAAGAAGAACCAAGTCCTGAGCCCTCGCCAAGGGTCCGGTGCGGTCAGCTGGCATTAACACTGGATCCACCCCCAGAAGTGTCACCCAGCCCAGCTACTACTCCAATAGTTTTAGGCGCGGGAGTGGAGGAGCTGCGACCTCCACAGACTACAACCCTGGCCTCTGACCCTAGCTATGACGGCAGGCGAACTGCTTCCTCCCCCTGTGCCTGCCCATCACCATTGCACCCCCCTCCAGGGTGCCTGGAAGGCGAGGGCAGATTTGCTGGCATGCTCCGGGTCCCCTGCGCCTCTCCGGCCAGGCAGCACTGGCACCAGCCTAATCCTGGAGGACCAAACACGATGCTGCCAGCCTTGCTTCAGTGCTGCTCCCTGCCCCACCAAAATTAGGAACCTGTGGAGCTGTCTCCTCCCAACAGCAAACAAGCTCCCTTTCCCCCACGCCACCGAAATGCCCCCGGGTTGCTCACAGGGTGGCTGGGCTAGGTCACAGCCCCCCAGAGGACCCCAAATGAAGGAACCACAGAAGGAGAAGAGAGAGGAGGAGATTGCTGCTCTGCACAGCAGGCCACATGTCAGCGGCAGCACCAGAATTTGCCCTCCATACCCGGAGAGCTAGAGGAGAGTCTCCCAGAGCTGCTAGCAGTACGGGGCACCTGACACAGAACTGAACCGCTGCATCTAGCGACAGACCAGTGACACACACACCTGCCTTTCCCAGGGCCTTTATGCTGCCACTAGCACAGCTGACCTGAGTTGTGCTAACCCATCGCTGTGCAAATCTGCATGGTGCCCACTAAGCTTGGAAGCTGCCTTACTCGAGACTGGGAGGTGTCAGTCACAGCCGTGGCGCCGTGGCTGGGGGGTGGGTACCCAGGGGGGACGGGGCACGGTACTCACAGATGTAGTAGTACTCATGCCCCGGCCGAAACTCAAAGCCCAGGGAGAAGGGCGTGAAGAGCTGGAACTTCTCGGAGAACTTCAGGGGCCCGTTGGGCGAGTCGGGCCGGTTGCACTCCCAGCGCTTGAAGCCCTTCTGCCGGTGGTCGCAGGACGCATGGCCCTCGTAGTTGACCATGTACAGGATGTACCGCTCCATCTTGTCCGTCGGGAAGGGGTCCTCATAGTGAGGGCAGTAGATATCCAGGTAGTCGTTGATGCTCACTTCCACTGTGTAGTCCCCTCGATGAAACCTGCAGCCAAGAGAACCAGGAGGCAGGGGTGAGCAGGGCCAGGCAGACTCAGCACAATCAGAGCCTGAGACCCCCAGTGCCGGAGGAGCCCAGCGGGAGCTCCGGGGGTCTCGGGGACTGTGCAATTCAGATGCCCGCTGTGCTGCCCACCCCTGCTGCAAACCCAGGAGTCCTGGCTGCCAACAACTCCCTGCCCACGCTGGGGGCCGGGGGGTGGTGCAGGGCCAGGCACCATGGGATACTCCGGGCCATGATGGGGAAGGGTTTCAAAAGCGATACGTGACTCGGGGTGCCTGCACTGAGCCATCCATGGAAGGACACCCACACGCTGTAACCCAGGCCATGGGGAAGCAAGCCCCCCCACCCCGGTCCTTGTGTCCCTTTAACCAGCAGAGAAAACCTGCCCGCGTTTCCCATTCCCCTCATTGCTGCAGCGAATCCCCCAGCCCACCGCAGAATCGGAGCTGCCTGCTTACAAGTAATCACGTGCCAAATTCCTCTGCTGCTTCTCACCCCCACTCTCAATAGGCTTTGCCACTGTTAATTAATTAATTAATCCTAATGACCCCCCCTGGGTCGATTCACCCTGTTTGCAGATGAATAAAACTGAGGCCCGGAAACATCCAATACTTCGACTGCAGCAACTGAGGGACAAAGAGAAGCCGGGAGCGCTGGCTCTTCATACCCCGACCCCTGCTGCCCCCGAACCCCTTTCCCCCCCGCGGTGAGGGAGAAAACCCAGGCGTCCCGGCTCACAGCCCCGCAGCTCTAACCACTAGCCCAGCGCTCTCTCTTCACATTAACCTTACAAGATTAAATTTAGTACCTCATTGTTTTAAGATTAATAAACCGGCAACACTTGGTAATAAGCAGCAAAAAATCATTATGCCTTGCGATACCATCAGCCCCTTTTGGTATTAATGCAGATGTGCACTGCAATCCTATTGTAATTTACGTTTTTGGTGCTGATTATCTAAGAGATTAAGGGATTAGCGGAGCTGGAAAATGACTCCAGAGTCTATAGGCAATTCCCATCTTAGACAGCGATGTGCCACGGTCCCTTAAAAACAGCCAGCTCCATCGGCTGCTCCCAGGGCCCCAAAACCTGGCCCCTGAAATGGAAAATAACTCGCTCATCTGCTCTGGCTGGCCCCTGAGTTTGCCGGGAGCTCCCCGGTCTGGGCTGCCAGCCGTCCTGGGGCGCTCCTCTCTCCCTACCTCGAGTGGGTTTTCTCAGCTAATTAATTTGCGGTTCCTACAGCGGCGCTTTCCCTCGTACAGAAAGTCTCTTGCTGGAGTCAGCAATGCTGGGGCAGGTGCGTGAGATTGATTCCCTTCCAAGATGCTGAGAGCGCACACAACACCTGGAATAAAGATGCAGGCTGAGGCGTGTGTGTGTGTGTACATATATGTATGTGTGCGTGCAGGCGTACGTGTGTGCATGCCTGCCCGTGAGCGTCTGGAGGATACTTATAACCATCCCCTTTCCCTCTTGTGTTCTGCTACTGCCACGTCCCAGTGCTTTCCGTCGCTCTGTGCAGGGATACGTTGCATCCCATCCGCGCCCTTAGAAAACAGCACTTGGGGGAGCAATGGGAACACCCTAACAAAAGCAAGAGTCAGACCTGATGGCGGGAAGGCAGCCGCGGCCAAGGGCACAGGGTCTCTATAGGGTCTGCACCCAATTCCAGAGACGTCGGGTGTGGGCACGGGGGCTCGGGTGCCGACGATGGCATGCGCAGCCGGCCCGTCACATGCTGGGCGAGGGGACCAAGGGCAGCAGGGACAAACGGGCTGCACGGATGGACCAGCCCTCGGTTGCTGCCTGGTGGTGGGCACGGTATGCAAGCCTGGCCCTGAGCGTCCTTCAGGGGCGCCCGTCCTCCCCGGCAGCCCCCCACCCCCCAAACTCCTGCCTCTCTGCCCCTAGGAAGCCTCCGCCAGCCCAAGGAGAACAGACCCCTTTGTGTCCCCTCGGGCTCCCTCCGCCCCCGGCGCGGGCGAGATTGACAGCGGTACATGCAAACCCTGTTGTCGGACGGAGCAGGGAGGTGGGGGGCCGGGGGGCGCGGGGGCACGCCGGGAAGCCTTGTCAGCTGTCAGTCTCTCTTTAAAACGCTCCAGACAAAAAAAGCCGGCAGACACCCCTCTGCGAAGGCAGCAGGCAGGTCACTGACATGCCGAGGAATTATTCATGAGCCCTGGTGCAGCGCAGGGGCCGGGGGGGCCTCAAAAGACAAGACACTGAAGTTTGTGCTTGGTGGGGGGGGCCAAGGGCAGGGGTACGGAGGGGACACTGCAGCCCAGGTCCTGGCTCCACATGGCCCATGGGGCCAGGAGGTGGAAGATGGCCAGGGCCAGCCCCAGCAGGATCCCCAGGTAGTGGGGTAGGCACGTGGGCACCCCCGTGCAGCTGGGCCACGGAGCTGCCACGTGCACTTGCCAAGAGGGAGCCACGCTGGGGACGCGCCCAGCCCCTCTGCCAGGGCATCCCGGGGGAGCCTCACATGCCGGGATGGAGGGGTGCCAGAGTCTGGATCTTGCAGCCGGCTCCAAGCTTTCAAACAGCCCCAAACTAGGCTCCCACATCCTTCGAGCACACAGGACGCGTCTGTCCGGGTCCGGCCGTCCCGCACTCACCCTTACAGCCTCCGTGCCCAGTTGTGGGCTTCAACCTTCCCGATTTCTACTCCTGGAGGACCTGTCCCCGGGGGCTGCGCCGGGCTACGTGCAAGGGCAGCGGGGGCACAGGGACGGCTCTGCCGGTTCAGAGGCTCCTCCGGAGAACACAATTCCTGCTCCCCGCTCCCGGGGAGGAGGAGGCGGCAGCCGCATCTCCATTTAAATGGAGCTGGCCCCCGCAGCACAGAGCCCCACTGGGTCTCTAAGTGGCAATTCAGCGCAGTGGGCTGGGCTGCTGGGCGAGACACGCACGCTGCTGCATGTGTAATGCCGTGGAGCAAGGAGGCTGTGGTGCGGCGTGGCACTGGGCACCCGCTGGCGGGCACTTTAAAGGGTCCAGCCTGGCAAGAGGGGCTGGGGCTGCCCAAGCCGGCCCTGCCCTGTGCCCGCTTGCCTGTGCGACGTGCATCGGAAACCCGGGCAGCGCAGCGCGGGGCAATGGAGAGACGCAGCTCAAGTGCGGACACATGCTCAGGGCATGCCCGCATTTGTGGCTCTGCCTCTGCCCACGGGCACACGCAGACTCCCTGTCACTCTGACTGACTCAGACCCAGGTATGTGCATGGACTCGCCCACTCTCTGATGTGTTATGCAGGCACACACACACGTGGGCACGCACGAGCCACCCCTGCCCCGTAGGGCGCACGCCCACTGGATGCTTGTGCACTTGGACACACGCAACCTTGTCCCTCTCAAGTGTACACACGCGCACACACTGTCCTTCTGCCTCGCGCTCACCGTGCAAACAAAGACGGCAGCAGGCCTGGCTGTGGCACGGGCTTGCAGCTCCAGTCCGACATCCCCTGCCTGCAAACACGCCCTCACCCCCAGCATCAATTCCTCCTTCCTGCTCACATATCCTCTTGTCTGCTCACACCGTGTCCCCACCCCCTGCCCCCCCCAGCCAGCCACGGTCCTGCTCTGTGCCTTAGTTTGCCCATCTGCAAACAGCGCTTCGAGATCTCCCAGTAAAAGGCCTGGCGTAAGAGCTCGGCATCTTCATTACTGACCCACTCTTTGCTAGCTGAGGCACCAGGACCGGGCCTGCTGCCACTCCAGGGCTTGGCGAGGGCTTCGTCTCCCCGAGCCTGGTACCCATGCCCGGATCTCCCTTGAACTCAGCACCCAGGGCAGGAAGTCCATTGCCGCTACCCCAGCACTGCCCAGCCCTAGCAGCTGAACATGGGAGCCAGCCTCCTCCTGGGATGTGCTGGGAAATCACGGGATCCTAAACACACACTGTGTCCGGGGTTGTGGCCCACATCTGCACTGTTGCAGTGTCTGGGGGTCAGCAATGCCCCCACGCCCTCCCTGTGCCAGGTGCTGTACAGGCACAGCACAGGGCCTCTGCCCTTGGGGGTCTCAGCCCTTAGAAGTGACAGCGAGAAACATCAAGTGAGAGCTTCAAGGTAATCGAAGCTATTTCAAAGCTGAGACCTCAAGAGGAGTCCCAAATCTTGGAAGCCTGACAGCAAGAGAGTCAGCAACGCCCAGGCTCTCCCAGCCTGCATACAACGGGACATTTGCCAGGCATAATGGGTTGCATTAGTAGAAGCATTGCCTGGAGATCAAGGGCAGTGATTCCTCCCCTCTATTCAGCACTGGGGAGGCCACATCTGGAGTCCTGTGTCCAGCTGTGGGCCCCCCACTACAGAAGGGATGTGGACATGTTGGAGAGAGTCCAGTTGAGCGCAGCAAAAGTTGTTGAGGGGCTGGGGGATGTGACTGGGGAGGAGAGGCTGGGGGAACTGGGCTTATTTAGTCAGGAGAAGAGAAGACTGAGGGGGATTGAATTGCAGCCTTCACCTCCCTGCAAGGGCTGCACAGAGGATGGAGCTGGGCTGGTCTCAGTGGGGGCAGATGGCAGGACAAGGAGCAAGGGCTCCAGTTGCAACAAGTTGGATATTAGGAAAAAGTCTCACCAGGAGGGTAGTAAAGCACTGGAACAGGTTACTGAGAGAGGTGGGGGAGTCTCAGCTAGACAAAGCCCTGGCTGGGACGATGGAGTTGGGGCTGGTCCTGCTCGGAGCAGGGGGTTGGACGAGTTGTCACCTCCCGAGGTCCCTTCAACCCTCATCTTCCATGATTCTGTGCAGGGAGGATGGGGCCGGTGTGCCGGTGTTTGCACACACATGCATGTGTCCACGCGTGTGCACACAACATAAGAAATTAAACCACCGAGCCTAATTAACCTCAGCTGAAAACACAGCCGGCGATACAGGGGGTGGCCTGTAACCACCCAGGTAAGAAGGGACAGGAAAAAAGGCGAGAAGTGAGCCTGGCCGGAAAGGAAGAAGAGGGCCGGCTGGAGCATGTGT